GGTGCCATAGGACCCTCTGTTCCTTATTTTTAAGGCAATTAAATGATCACGAGACCCACAGTGCCAGAAAGTGGGGCTGCTCTGGGTAAACCTCTCTTTAAAACTGCCCATTTTAATTCACTGAATCCAGGCTCTTCAGCTGCACAGAGCAGACAACAGCAGATCCATAGATACACTGAATACTTTTACCTGGTACTGCAGCAGGTGAGAGTGGACCAGAACGCGACTGAGCAACACTAGCAGGAGAGCCAACAGGGGAAGGGGAGGGTCCTCTGATTCCTGGGAGGTGAGGCGAGGTATGCGGAGAGAAAGGAGACTGAGCTGGGTTACTCTGTTCTCCTTGACTGCTTGAAATCCCTGACGTGCTTACTCCAGGACTCAGGGCTCCTTCTGTACCCATGGGTAGATCATCTATTGAACCAGACAGATCCTGTAGTGCACAGAAAAGTGGATCAGACAAAAAAATTAAGAGGCAGAGAAACTGTTCTCCTGCACACCACCAGCAAAGAGAAGTGTCTGTTACAGAATTCACTGCATTCTGCTCCTAGGCAAACTACAAACAAATAGAAAATCAATCAAACCAGCTCATGTTATTGTCAATTATGAAGGCTGTAGCTCAAACCTAGTTAACTGACAAATGCATCTTACTCTGTCCTCCCTCCCTCAAATCCAGAAGTTCCCCAGCTGTGGTCTGTGGAGTGCTGACTGGTGGTCCAGAAAGCTAGTTGGTCACATGGGTGCCAATTCTCAAACGTGTTTCAGCTGCTAAGTTGCATTAAAAGAGGATAAAAATAAAAGTAAGTTCCTATATAAGCAAGTGACGTAGCTGCCAAAGGCTTGTATATGATTGCAAATGGGAGAAGAGGTTGTCTATGTGATGACTAGGTGAAGGGAAGTTGTCCATGACAGAAGAGTGGCTCACCCTTTCAAAGAGTTTGAGAACTCCTGCCTAACCTCAGTCCACTCTGAGGCCTCAGATGGGCTGGGGAACTTCTTACTTGAAGAAAAAAAAAAAAACTAAAATACAGATTTAAAAGAAAACCATGAAACATTTCCCAATTCCCTTTCTTCACAGAAACTGGAAATTAGCCATTTCTTTAAGTTTCAGGCATTATTGAAGGCAAGAACAGAGAAGGCTCTCCCCTACTGCACACATCCACCTTGAACCAGGAGACAGCAGTCTTGTCTGAACTCGCTTCAATGCCCTAAATTGGCACAAGAGTTGCTGGAAAATTGCGGCCCATGAACAATCGGTAAATTGTCCGGATACTGCATGTGCGGGTGGGTAGGGTAGGGTAGGGGAACCTTGCATTTTCTACACATGGGTATTATTCAAGTACCTTGGTACTTACAAAAACCCACGTGCGAAGACAGTCCCTGACATTAAGGGATTAAGCTCTATGATTTAGGGAAAAAAAAAAGAAACCCACCACCACCACACACAACCTATCATATTGGGAAGACCGGAGGAGATTTTTTCACTTGACCAGAGCTCAAAGATAATATATGGTGATGTGCTCCCCCTCTCTCTCTCACACATACTTATTCCCCACCCACCTGTCCACCATTAGTAACTCCCTCTTTGCAGAAACCCGAGGAAGAGTGTAATAAGGATTTTGACCCTACCAGAAATCTTATTTTCCTTATTTCTAAAATACAAACCTTAGGTTTAAAATTAAAGGTTTCAGATTTTTTATTCTTTATGTAGGAACTGTTGCTTCCTGAATTTGTTAATATAAAGTGCAGCACCGTAACAGTTTAATGAACGAAAATGGTGCAGGTTTTTCCTCAATCTGGTTCTTATTTCTCATCCAGCATGAGAATAATTTTAAGTAGCTGCTTTTTTTTCCTTTTTCTTTTTTTAATGATAGTTAAAATATTTTTTGTAGGAAATGCAGAAGTAGAGTCTTAGGATGTACTTGGATGAAGAGAGAGGCTTGGAAAACCAGTTTTAGGAGGACATTTCATACAGAAGAGGAAGCATGAAGAAAGGCACAGAAGTGGGAAAAGGAAATGAACAGCGCTTTGCAGCTGGCATCACTGAAAGAGCAGAAGATGATGCTGATGATTTAGGAATGGGCCACAATTTAGCCTACATTTCACATTTACTTTGAAACAAGGACAGACATCAAGTTAGCTTTGCTCTGTACCTACCTCTGGCCTAAACTAATGCACATTATACTTTGCATCTTTTAGGAGGAGCCATGTGACCATAATATCCTAATCTGATTTACAAAGATTGTGCTAAAAACATGTTTGCATCTTTTCATAGACATCTTTACTTTGAGGACAGCTAGCTTTATAGTATTTGTGTAATAGCAGGTGTACAGCAGCATGGACAATCTGGCTTTCCGTGACTAGGGACAACAGAATACCAAGGTAATTGGACTTGTGGTTAAAGCACTGGACTGGCACTTATAAGGTCTGGATTCAACCCCTTGCTCTACTACAGACATCCTGAGAGATCTTGGGGTAGGTCACTGTCTCTTTCTCAGTTCCCCTCATTTGCGAAGTGTGGATACAATTACATCCACACTTCACTGGGATGTTGTAAAGATACATTCTACAGTAATGGACGGCGGGGACAAAGGGAAGCTCACAGGAGCTAGGAGGAACGAGCACGGCAGCCCTAGACAGAAGGAGACAAGAAGTTGGAAAGCAATTTGGGAAACTAAAAAATGGCAACTCTGATACCTGTCCGAAATTGTCAGCGATAGACGTGGAGGGGTCAATCAGGTAACCAAGTGGGAGACATGTTCACTGGGGCCTAGCTTATCACTAAACAGACCCCTGTGGATGTTTTTCCACAACAGACATGATCCGATTCAAACAGCAATTATTTCAGGGGAAGTTCTATGGCCTGTGTTATGTTTGAAGGAGGTCAGATTCGAATACAGCGGTCCCTTCAGGCCTTGCAGTCCATGAATCTCTGGCCAGATCAGCACTTTGTCAGAAAGCGCTGCCTGAATAAGCATTAAAATCGGCTTGGGCAAATCTGTTTGAACACCACAAGTTACCTGACCAGTATGAATAGGGCCAAACCACGTTTTAAAATAAGAATTCAGAAAAAAGTCAGGACACAATTGCTAAACATGGCTTAGACAGTTTGGTCCCATCCTCACTGGCTGGGCTATACCATTGTCGACAGTTCAGATAACCCTTACCAACCCCAATGCCGGCAGGGCCTCAGACCCGAAGTACTGCAAAGTTATCAGCAGCAAACAAGAGGCCTTGTCACTCTAAAGCACCTGCTTGTCAGCATGTCCCCTTCCTCAGGCTGAATACACAGCACTTCAGTGAATGTTCAGGGAAGGGGAAACCTGAAGGCACAAGTCAAGAGTGAAGAGATTCCTGTCTATGCTAGAAGATGGTTAGGGAAGGTCACGGTTGGAGACTGGATAGGCAGAGAAATCATTCTGTGTTTAAAATGGGTGCGTATAAGTGGTAGGGGTATCGGAACAGAGTCCCATTCTGCCCGCTCTTGCACCACTGCAATTTCCACTGGTTTTAATGGCACATTTAAGATGGAAATGTCAATCCAATCCTTTGTTAGCATGACCTAGGGCCCACTATTCTCAACCTTTTACCATCACTTCCTTTGTATTAAGATGATGTCTTGCAAGGCAGCCTCAGTAGTATATCTGCTTTTCTTTTTATTTCAATCAAAGATCGGATTGTTCAGAAAAATCCTAAAAACAAAGTTTACAAGATCCAATGACTTTCCCGTCTCTCTACTGATCAGTCTCAGTATGGTTGATGGCACAAAGCTCCCAGTCTAAACAAAATACAACTCCAGAGAAGGCCTGAAGACAGTACCTTGCACACAGCCATTATTATTGGTTCTTAGTCACTCACGTTCAAGAGTATTAACCTCAAATCTAAGAAAAATCTTCTCTCATCTGACTTTGGTGCTTCAGGACAAATTTCTCGTTAGGTAGGAATTACATTTCTTCTTCAATCTATGAGTTCGGTCAAGTTGCTCACATTATCCTAACCGATTTGTGTTTGGGGTGACATTACAGACATGTATCACAACCCCATGTCATTAAGTGGGACTGTTACAACTGCAGTTTCAGTATTAACCCCCAATTCAGTATGCCAAAGAGCCAGTTAGGTCTTAATCTGTTAATACTCTGGATTTGTCTAGCACCTTTCATCTAAGAACTGCAAAGCATTTTATAAATATTGCTTCACAACACCCCCCATAACAAAAAGGAGTTAATTTCAGTTTTATAGAACAGGTATAAAGGTGATATGCAAAAGGAAAAAAAGATTGCAACAAAAAAATAAAGCCACATACACACACAAGATATAATGGCCTGAAAGGCTTGCTTTAACCAAAAGATGTCTGCCTTTTTGTAATCTTAGAAAAATCAACAATATCTAATCTTGCCTTTTCTGGCTTTGATGGATGTTTCCTAAACTGGAGAAACAACGATGTTGAATCTGTAACAAAAATCTTTTCTCCCAAATGCTTGTGAGGTGTTTTGATTAAACAGGTAAATTTAAGAAACAAATTAAGTGTCTAAAAATCCCTTTTCTACTGCATGGCTTGGGGTTTCACTTCCTTAGTGTTGTAATGTTACAATCTTACTAGTTTCTCCACAGTTGTCATAGTCTTCCAGGAAAGACATTAAGATAAGATCTGAATTCCTAATGTGAAACATACGTGGAAGTTCGATAAAGAATCAAAATTAAAATACAACCACAAATACAAAAGGGGCAAGCTCTCTTTTCGACCGCCTCCCCCCGCCATTTAAGTGACTTAAATAACATTATACTGGAAAACTGTGGAACAGCCAGGAAAAGAATGCGGCCTTATTTATAGATACTTTGAGGGAAAAACCCAATACATCACATAACATATTATCTGATTTTGGTCCTTTATTTCCAGACCAAAAAATGGAAGACATTGTTAACGAGACTGCAGAGGTGCATCAATTAGTTCTGCTAAAAGACTTATTTGAATGTAGTTATAACAAGCTGCATGCTTGAAAGCAAGGAAATCCAGAGTTAAGTACGTGAACATCCTTAACTCTGATCTAACACACCACTACAACGGGGGTGAGTCCACATGATGAAGGCTTGCATTTCTCTTAAGTACTTTAAAATACTTTTAGGCTGAAATTGCCCAAGTTGTTGGGCGGGATCTGGATGCTTGATTCCCATAACAATTAAAGGGGAATTGAGAGTCCAGATCGCCACAGGCAACGGAAAAACCCCACTCAAACTTTGTCAGCGTTGTTTTAAAGAATGAAGTACAGTACTCTGCAGATGTTATCTGTACAGTAGAGGCCAGGGCATACTAGATATCTACTCAGACTTCCACTGGAAAAGTACATCTCTAAATGAGAGAGAGAGAGAGAGAGAGAATGAATACAGGGAATGATTGTAAATGATGGGTGTTTGGGGACTGTACACTGAGGCAGA